ATTACGAAGAAGAAATTATATAAAGAGGAACCATTCACGAAGATTCATTTTATTCAGCATTAACTCAAGAAACTATATCAGATAGTGATTATCAAATATATCTCAATGATGCTAAAAATTTTAAGAATAGATTAGAATATTTTATTCATTATTGCAATAAAGATGTTGAAATTATGATTGACCCAATCGATAAAATTATTGAAGAAACATTTGTTTATAAAATTGACACGCTTCATAATCTTTCTTTATCATTGAATGCTTCAATGATTCGTTACGCTTTAGCATATAAAGACTTTAATCCTAATGAAAAATATCCCGAGGAAGAGATAGAATCAAGTTTTGAATTAACGAAAAAGTATTGGAAATATAAAATTGAATCATATAAGAAACAAGATGAAAAAGCAGAAAGGGATACTAAAATAATGTTTCAATGGATGATTTTCAATACTATCACGATTTAATCCTTTCATCTAAATGCAAAATGTGTGGTAAAGCGTTTACATATGCAAATAAACCAACATTGGATAGAATCGATAATGAAAACCACATACCAAAGAAAATTGTCAGTTAATGTGTTGTTATTGCAATGTCGTAAAATCAAATAAAGATGAAGATGTTCAACGTTTAAGAATCAATTTAAGAAATTATGCATTAAAAAATAATTTACCAATGACTTTAGATTCAGTTGAAGCTTATCACATTCTCCGTATGGAATTACTGGTGGTTTATCAAATGTTCAACATAGAGTAAATCTTAAAGGAATCACGCACATTAATAAACTTGCATATAATCCAGAAACTAAAACTGTATCAAATGAGGACACCACCAACATTATGACTCATTTCGTTGGTGTTGATTTTAATTCATTATATCCTTCATCATTTTCATCTAATCCTCATGATTTCATTCAATATACTGACCATAAAATGTATATGCCGGGAAGATTGAATGGTGTTATCATTTGTGATACAGCAACAAAGAAAGCAAAAGCACTGGGAATAATTAAGAAAGAAATACTTTATTCGTGGCTGAAGTAAAGGGTCACATTGATGAAAAATACATTAATGATTACATAAACTTTTTACCGATAATAAGAAACTTAGATATTATCACAGATGAAAAAACAATTGGCAGTTTTATGTATAATTACATGAAATCAAACAATCTACCGGTTGACCAGAAACAGAGGAAATTAACTCAGTTAGCATCAACACACAACCAATATCAACCATTTTCTTCTTATTATCTTTGGTATCTAATAGACAGATTTCATTTTATCATTGATGACATTCAATCAATTTTAACATTTACTAAAAACACTTGTTTTAATGAATTTGCGAACAAATTTATGAACGAAAGACAAAAGGCTGAATTAGAAGGAAATAAAGGAAAAAGTTTATTTTGCAAGATTTCACTTAATGGATCATATGGTTATGATGCAATGAATACACAAATTACGCAAAGACTAAAATAATGAATGCACAGAAGGCACGCGTTGCATGTATGTCAAATAAGTTTAAAAACATAAGAGAAATAGGTGAAGATACATATCAAGTGATGCTTAAAGATAGATTTTATAGATGTGATACATGTTTACAAGAGGCATTCTTCACTTTAGATAATGCTAAATACTGGTATTTGGTTTTCATTTATGATTTTATGTATAAATGCTTGAATGTTAATCGTTTTCATTTCATTGAAGGTGATACTGATTCATCTTATTGGGCAATCGCTGGCGACCCAAATCTTCCTAACACTCAAGCATTTCAAGCAATTGTTACCGATAAACAATTTTATGATAAAAACATTTTCAAATTCGCACCATTTGATTTCTTCTGTTTTGATGAGAAATTTAAACCTAAATTAAAGAATAAAGCTGAAGAAAAAGCACATGAGAAGAAGTTATTGGGTTTAGCAATTGAGAAACAAGGTGATAACATGGTTGCTTTATGCCCTAAGTGTTATACATCATTCAACGGTTCAATTGATGGAAGTGATTTTAAAAAGATTGCACAAAAAATGAAAGGTGTTAGTTTACGACAAAATAAACAATTAACACCTAAAAATTATTTGGATATAATAAATGATAAAGTGATATTTGATGGTCAGAATATTAATTTACAACTTAAAAACGGGTCAATGACTCGCTTAACAATCGGTAAGACTGCATTAACAGGAGCACACACTAAGGCTGTATGTTGTGAAAATGGATGTTGTATGCCATTTATTTAATACAATTTAAAATTTTATTTTTAATAAAATGCCACAGAAGAGACAAAAGGAACCGTAAATAATGGTTTTGATACTATGATTCAAAGAGGTGGGCACCCTTAAACATTTATTTTATTTTTATATAAATGGATAACACAGATTTAAAAAATTTAATTGATGATTTAGTACTTAATCAAAATTTTCTTAATTATTATGAATTAAAATCATATCTCCAAAAACATAATAACAATATAACGGGTGATGATATGGATTATTATTATCCATATTATAAAAATGAAATTTTGAAATATCATGATAAAATAATTTCTAAAATTAAAGACAAAATTAAAAATAATGAATATACAAAGGAAAAAACTAAATCACAACTTAGACAATTGAAAGATTTCAAAAATAAAGTATTAACAGAAGAAGATATTGATGAATTATATAAATTATATAATCATGAGCCGCAAAAAACAAAGGAACAAAAACAAAAGGTGCAAAACACCCAGGTCCTTCAGACCATAAATGAAGCACAAGCTTTAATTTATGATTCATTAGTTAAACCATATTCAGCCCGAATTTTAAATGAAGATCAACTTTTGGAATTCATCCTTCAACATAAACTCGAAGCGGGAAAGTATATCAAACCTTTATATACAGCATATTTAAAACAAATGAATAGAATACATCCAGAATTAATGAAGGGGGGAATGAAATCCAAAATCAAAGCAGATAAAATTAAACCACTTGCAACACCAAAACCTCCAACGACAGTACCTCCTCCTCCTTCAGTTAATCCTTCATCATTCACTTTATTATATCCATTTCAAACATTAAAGAAGCAAAAAGATTTTAAAAAGGATTTCAAGATATTAAATAAACCAATTGACCCGAAAATTCAACCGTTAAAGGAAAAATTTAGTCGCCCTTCATTTGCTCCATATCCATATTCATACGAAATCGATCATCTGGAATATTCAAAAGGAAACGTTACTTATTTATTTGCCATTAACATTAACACTAGATATTTATATTGCATTCCAGTGAAAGGGAAAACAGAACAGGAAACAAGAAGAGCTATACAATACTTACTAGATCATGAAAGAGTAGATAATATCATGGGTGATGGTGATAAAGGATTTCAGGCAGCTATGGCTCATTATTTCCCACAAATTAATTTTTTCTTTTCATCCTCTCCATATACGTTTCATAATAAAATAGTTGATGCGGTAATGAGAACTCTTAGAGATGCGTTAGGGTTAACGGTCAGATATACTGGGATGGAAATCATGACTCCATCATACAACAGTTAGTATATTATTACAATAATACATGGCATAGAACTATAAACATGAAACCAGTGGAAATGAAAAATGATATTTCAAAAGAATGGGAATATATTAGAAAGCAAATGGAAAGGTTGAATGATGTTAAACGTGAACAAATTAATTCGGGGCTCATGAATTTTAAACAAGGGGATAAAGTTTTGATTCATCTCGATTATGGAAAAACTGATAAATCAATGACAAAAAGAAGACGAAGATTTGACACAATAGCTGAATTTGTTAGATATATTAACGGCAATACATTAGTTGAAGTTGACAATAAATTAATAGAAATTCCGATTTATTTTATTACTCCATTATATTTAAATAATATTTAATTTTTTTATTTCGTAAGAAATGAGTGACAACAAAGCAGCCAAGAGTCCAGACAATGAATATAAAAAGAAACTAAACAGAATTAAATCAAAAATATGCTATTACAAAAAGAAGCCGCAATGTGGTGGGGCTGAAAACGATAAAGAGAGGAAAGAAATAATCGAAAAATTAGAAACTTACCGTTCAATCCTTAAACTGAGTGAAGCAAAAATAAAAGAATTTAATAGAATAAATAAATTGATTGGAAGAGATGAATTTAATAAAGATGAATTTTTAAACTCAATCCAAATTTAATTTTTATTCCTCTTCCCGAACCCTTCTAGGTTCTTCTTTCCATCATTACTGCATAACCGCATCTTCTCGGTTTTCGTGGTTTGTTGTTTTTAATTCGTTCTTGCATCATTTTTATCATTTCCTCCCTTGTTATGATTCGTGGTAAATTTTGAGCTTGTGGGGTATCCATTTATATAAAAATAAAATTTTGTTATCAGTTATTTCTGCAGTTCATCCATTACTTCATTACCTAATTAATTACAGACATAAAATATATTTAGTTCATTCGGTAAGCCTTGACCCAAAGGTCTGGGCTCAAGCACATTCAATGAACGCGGTACCATGCGAATATAGTCACAAATGGTGGCATGTAATCTTTACCCAAGCCTGTTGGATTTGTTGTGAAAGTGTGTGAATGATTTCCTCCTGGTTCAGTTGGTCGAAAAATCTTTTTTGCTGCATTGTTATAAGATGGAGATAAAACATCATTGCCAGCTTTATATTCTGAGTTGTATAATGGGTGGTCTCTTAATGAGTGGCTATGGTCGCCAGAAAAGTTTGTCGTTCCTGTATGAGTGTGCGGTGGAAGGTTTGCTTCTTTAATTTTCTTCGAACCTCCTGTTTGCTTTGAATATCTAGCACAGTATAAGAATTTATCTACAATCTGCTTCCACGTACCAAAACCTAAAACTGTTGCTGGATTTGTTGATTCATTGACGTATAAATAGAACCAACAGGATATAATGTTTGAAGTATTTCATTTTTCATGCTTGTAATCACATCATTTACTTCCGACTTCTTTGCATAATTTTCATCAACATAAGTTTTATCTGCTTTAAGGTCTAAACATCCTGAAACCCATCCTGTATCAGCTTTAACTTTAAAAGTCTCCGATGTCCATTCATGATACCATTCAACCTTTTCTTTAATTTCATTATCTTTTTCATCAACATAAGTTTTATCTGCTTTAAGGTCTAAACATCCTGAAACCCATCCTGTATCAGCTTTAACTTTAAAAGTCTCCGATGTCCATTCATGATACCATTCAACCTTTTCTTTAATTTCATTATCTTTTTCATCAACATAAACCAAATTTGCCTTCTTATTTAATTCACTATCCACATATTCCTTATCCACCTTCTTCATTATGTCGTTTAGGAAACCTTCTATGAATTCCTCATTTAAATTAAATCTTCCAATCTTCAAAACTTTAGGAAATGCATTTAATGCGTAATATCTCTGTTCTTCTGGTGGAATTGATGTTATATCATCCGTTATTCCTTTAATTTTTGAATTCATAAATAAAATTTCTTTTATATTTGATATCACTGCACCACCTTTGCAAACGAATTCGAAATGGTCATTTTTCAATACTATCTCCAAATCTCCATATTTCAACCTTTGCGTTTGTTCTGCCGTCTTTGAATTATATGCATATATGGCGTATGTAATGGTCTGAAGGACCTGGGCGCTTTGCGCCTTAAGTTGCTGTTGTTTAATCATTTATTATGATTTAAAAATAAATATTTAATCCGTTATCTCATCAGCTATTTTCTCTATTTGAAATTGCCATAATATTTCATTCATAAATTCTAAATCACAATCAAATAGGTCAGTTATTCTAAATTTAATATTTGATAAATCTTTTGAATGAAGAATAAATGAATTCCCGGATAATTGAAACGGATATGATAAAGAAAATGTGTTTAAGTTGATGGATAAAATGTTTTGTATTGATGGGTAAGAGTTTGGTCTAATGTTTGATGTGAAAATCTCATTGGGGTATTAACTTTATCACATTTGATTAAAATGAAATTGGAACCAGTGTCAGAATACAAAACATCCCCAACATCTTTTTCAAAATTTAATATCCCCAACAATGAACGAAGATGAGGAGTACAAAATTTAATTTTCAGCGGAATTTAATAAGGTTATTTATTTCATCAAGTTCAAAAAGTTTATCGGTTTTGATTTAAAATTTTCTTCATACCATACGATAAATGATTCATTTAAATAACTTAAAATCATGTTAATATCCCATTTCGCTATCACATTATTTATATACATATCATACGTTTTTTCAAGGTCATCTTTAATAAATGATATATAATCTGAAGGGTCTAAAAGAATGGGATTAAATTTACCACTCACAGAAACGAGAGTAACATTATAAATTCCGCTAACTGTTAAATTTAATTCACAGCTATTATTCGAAATAATATTGATAATTGACATTTTTATTACGATTAAAAATATGGTAAAGCGTTATTTTCCAGTGATAAATAAAACTAGAATAAGATTACCTCAAGAATTCATAAATTCAACGAATAAGAAATTCATTCATGTTATAAATTTTAGTGTTTTCAGAAAATATGAGTCAGTGTCATATTCATCAACAGGTTATATTTCACTTCATTCAAATTTAGTTCAATCAAACCCATATAATGACCATTTCATAAGATTTTCAGATGGTATTAAAAATGTAATTGATAGATTAAAATATGAACAGATTGACAATATCGAATTTTTGGAATTTTGGTTTAAATATCCCGATGGAAAAAAGATTGAAGTTAAAGATAAAGCTGATACTATAACAAAAACAATTACAATGACCGATCCGGATAGTGGGGAACAAAAAGAAATAAAACAAACGATAGAAAACTGGTGAAAGGTCAATTATTATTGATTATGATTCAAAGGATTATTATTCGATAATGTTAATGCTTGAATATTAAATAGCCTTAACAAAGAATTTTTCAAGTGATATTTTATATTCATCAACTATTTTATTATAAATATCATTATATGTTAAATGAAGTTCAGTTGTTGTTCCGTTCTTTGATATCTTAATTGTGCTAATATCCTTTATAGGATTTATTTTTGCAACTGTTCCGCAGCATGAAACCTCATCATCTATGAAAAATTGAATCTTAACGTCTGAATCTTGAACATCACAAAGAATGGCGATAATGTGAATTAATGATTCATAAGGTAAAATAATTAAACCGGATTGGTCAATTAAATTTATTATTGAATCATAATTATTAATTATTATATCACGGTAAATTTTCATTAATTCAGAATTAATGTCTATTTTATATGGGTTCTCGATGTTTGATGAAAGAGGTGGGGGTATGTTGGATAAGTGGGAATTTCAACAGGTTCTTTACCGGGTTCAGATAAAATGATTGGGTCTCCATTCTCATTTTTCTTCATTCTCCTCATTCTTCGGTAAGTCACGAGTTAATAAATTTGGTTGAGTTGCTGACCTTGTTAATTCAGGGCTAACATTAACTTTAACATTTTGAATAATTCGTGATTTATCATCATTTACGTTATAACCAACCGTAATCTCTGCTTTTGCGTTTGTGTTCTTTTGACTAGTGAAACGTCTTCTCATTTATAATTGAATAAAAAAATATATTTAAACTTTTATTTTGCTGGAACTTTTGAATCTATTATTCCCTGTATTTGTTCATGAAGTTGATTTTTAGCTGGTTCATTGTAATTAATAGACCTAATATATTCATTAATTGCATTCTTATAATCATCTGATTTCTCAAATTTTTTTTATCTGATTCCTTAACTAAATCATAAGTTAAACCTCGTTGCTGATATAATGGTTTCTTAATTAAATCTTTGAATGCTTGAGATAAAGCACCTGATGCAATTCTTGCTACTATAATTGGTTGGAATTGATGTTTAAGTTCATCTTTAACATTTGCGAAAACTGGATCGAATAAAGCAACTTTAAAGAATTTCTTAGCTGAAATTTCAGGTCTAATATTTGCATATTGACCATCAAACTGGTTAGAATATCGTGGTAATCCATCCGGTCCCTCTTCAATAGCATTTAATTCTTCATTGAAATAAGAATATGGATTATAACGGTATGAATTAATTGGACCATTTTCACCTTCTCCAATGTATTGTTTAACAGCTTTTCCATTTTCATCAAATTGCATAGGATAACGTTCATTATATGCTTTACGTTTAGGATAATCAGTTATAGTTAATTTGTAACCATTTATGACTTTAATATTACCTTGACCATCAGTAACGAAAACTTCATTTATACCATCAGGTTTTCCATTTGGACCCGTAATGTCTGCTTCGTGTGCTTCTCAATTTGGACCTTGACGTTTGGCATATGCTTGAGCTTCTGGTAATGTTAAAACGTTTCTCATTTGTTTAACATCTTTTTGAAGACCAGCAACAATATGAACTAATTCTTTCATTCCATCAGGAACTTTCATAGTTCTATTATATGCACCTTTTTTGTTTGTTCCTTGTTTTAATGGAACCTGTAGAAGATTTGCCATTTCTGTCATGTTTAATTATAAATAAAAAATAAAAATTAATTATAAAAAGTTAATCAAATTTAACACTTCCTTTATTTAAATCAACTATTATTTTTCCATGTTGACCTAATTGTTGATATTGTGTGTAAAGTTCATTAATGCTCATTGGTAAATTCACTTGATAAAGCATAACGTTCAACTGTTGACGACTAAAACCACTGAAAATGAAAAGTGTTGATAGATTTGATTTAATGTTTGTGCTTAATGCTTTGAAATATTGAACAGCCATAAAGAATGAACACTGAATGTGTCGACATTGAGTTAATAACTGATTAAAATATGATTTCTCATTTGTTATTAGTTTTGATTTCACTGCATCATCTAGAAAAATGAGTGAATGCAAAAATTCTCTATCAAAATTTGAAATAGAAAGTGTTTCAAATAATTCATCCCGTTGTTTATCAATAATTTTATCCTCTAATCCTTGCTTCTTGATTGTATTATATAATTCTTTATACATTAAAAAGTTTTTTAAATAATCTTCTGCTTCTTCTTGTGATAAATAAATAATTGGAATTTTGATTAAATGCTTTAAAGATTCAAATGTATCATCTGAAGGTGAACCTGAACGGTTGATATAAATCAACACATGTGAATAGGGGGAAGTGTTAGCAATAATGATAATTTGTTTTAATATCGTTAATGTTTTACCTTTATTCTGTTTACCAATTGCTGCAGTGATTGAATTTAAGTAACATTCAGAATATGGAATTTTCATTAATTTTTCCTTAGATAGAGCATTTCTATTATCACTCAATGCTTCATTAATCATATCATCTACGTATGTATTATATACTCCCGCTAATTCTTCATAAGGGGTGGATGAATTTAAATCCATTTAATCAAAAATAAATTTATAATTTTAAACATTTCTATTCATCAATATTTCATCATATGAACTTCTATACTGTGGTGGTGTACCTGTTGGATGATATTTCAAACCTTCGTCCGGTGTCCATGTCCAATATGTAGTCCTAGTAAACCAAACCTGAGGAGGATTTGTCACCTTTGAACAGTAAGTGTCATTTTCACCCTGAATGATTGGATAAGCTTTCACTTGTACTGTAACTTGTGGGTTGAAAGTTTCTAATCCATCAAAGAATATACCCGCTCCATCACGTTGAACTGGAATAGTGCATAAGAATGAAGTTTGGTCTTTCCATGTTCTAGCTAATGGCGTGCCATCATCATTCAGTGGTCTAGTTAATGAGTCCTCGTATTCTTCTGTGCATTCATTCACTCCATCTAAATCAGAAGCTTGAAGCATACGTGTAAAGAATATGTCGCCCACTGTGGTCATCGCTTGATCGGGGAAGTTTCTGGAATCTATAGTGACCTGAAGACCTCGAAGCATTGGATTTTCTAAAACCGTTCTTTGCATTGCATTCTTCGGAAATGTTAACACAACATCTGTAACATTATGAAGAGCGTATGAGAAATCTGAGCTAATACCTTCAGGAGTGATGCAACCTCCATTTAGTGAACGAACGTCAATATGTTGAGCTGGAATCATGAATGGATCTTCCTTACTAAATAAACGTGGTATTGCTTTAACTGATTCTTCAATTAAACCGTATCCGGTGTAATGCATTTATCCTCTAAAACTTCCATCTTTGTGCATGAAATAATAACGTCATCAACTGTTGCCTCAGCAGATGTAGCGGCTAAGCTTGTAATTAATTTGGTAGGAAGTCCGATTTGTTGGAATTTGCGATCATATTTATAAACATGATTCATAATCTTTTCATAATTTTCATCAGTTATCTTTTCATAAACGTAATTTTGTAAATCAGCAACTCTTAACGGGTCAACCTGACAAAATACTAAAGTATCCCTGAAAACATAATATTTAAGAATGATATCACCAAATGATTTAGGATAATCATCGAACGCCTGAAATGCTAACAAATCATTTACCGGAATAATCATATCAAAAGTGACATCAACTTCTTCATTTGCTTTCTTGAAAACTTCTGAAGGGTCAATATATTTACCACATACTGAGTTATCATATTTTTGAACATTATTATATAACGAATGAACAAACTTTTTAACTTTCCTTTCTGATTTTGGTTTATATGTTGCAAATGCGAAAGATTCACGGGCGCAATCCATCTGAAGATAACCGGCATCACCTCTTTC